TACAAGAGTTGCAGAACGTAGCAACTGGCTGTAGCTGTAGGGTTAACGGTAAATTCACACTACTTGTTTGTTTTACTTGAAGGAAGCTTGTGACGCTCTTGTAGGCTTGACACTCAAGACGAACAATTATTAATTATTAGCTATCTCGGAGAAAACGATCTTTGTTATTCGAGATAACTTACAGATAATAAGGTCGTTATCACGATATAGAAGTGACTAAAAAAAAATAAAAATCCATGGCCGTTCTCGGCTTCCGTACTCAGCACCCCTCTTGACAGAAAAAAAACAAAAATGTAGAAATTTTTGCAAATTTATTAAAAGGAAAACTGAAAATATCACATGGCATGAAGTAGTCAGACCCCCTTTGCTGTGAACTCATATTTAACTCACATGCTGTCCATTCTCTGATCCTCCATTGGAGATGGTTCTGCTCCCCTTCGATTGGAGTCAGCTGTTGTTTAAATTAAACTGATTGCGACCTGACGTAGGAAAGGAACATCTGTCTATATAAGACCTTACAGGCTCACAGTGTATGTTCAGAGCAAATGAGAAGTCATGAGTCGATAGGAACTGCCAAGGTGTCAGAGACAGAATTGTGGCAAGGCACAGACTGGCAAGGTTACAAAAGATTTCCTGCAGCACTCAAGTTCCTAAAGAGCGACAGTGGGCCTCATTAATCCTAAATGGAAGAAGTTTGGGACGACGAACTCTCCTAGACCTGGCCGTCAGCCAAACTGAGCAATCGTAGGAGAAAGCCTTGGTGAGAGAGGTTAAAGAAGACCAACAGATCACTGTGCTGAGTCCAGAGATGCAGAGGGAGATGGGGAGAAAGTCCACAAAGTCAACTATCACTGCAGCCCTCCACCATCGGGGCTTTATTGGCAGGTGGCCCGACGGAAGCCTCTTCTAGGTGTAATGACATATGAAAGCCCGCAGTTGCAAAAAAAAATGTAGGACTCCCAGACTATGATGAAAGAAGATTTCCGGTCTGATGAGACAAGATTGAACTTTTTGCGTTAATGTCTAACCGTATTATGTGGAGAAACCAGGCACACTCATCACCTGCCCAATACATCCCAACACGTGAACATGGGGGTGGCAGCTCCATGCTATGGGGGACAGATACTAAGTTGCAATTTTTGAAGAAAGTGAAAGCGGCCAAGTACACAGATATCCTGGAGAAAACTTTCCAGAGTGCTCAGGACCTCAGACTTGGCCGAACGGTTCACCTTCCACACAGACCATGACCTAAGACACAGCTAATAACAAAGGAGTGCTCGGAACAACTTCTGTGACATTCTAACTGCCCAGCCAGAGCCTGACCTTAAACCCATTTGCATCTCTGGAGAGACACGAAAATGGCTGATACAAACGCTCACCATCCACTGACAGAACTGGAGAGTCTGCAAGGAAGAATGCCAGAGGATCCCAAAACAATCCAGGTGTGAAAAAGCTTGTTTGCATCATTCCCAAAAGACTCATGGCTGTACTATGCTCAAAAGGTGCTTCTACTCAAAGCTGAGCAAAGGGTCGAATACTTATGACCATGTGATATTTCGTTTTTCTTTTTTAATAAATTTGGCAAAAATTTCTACATTTCTGTTTTGTTTTTCTGTCAAGATGGGGTGCTGAGTACATTAATGAGAAATAAAATGAACTTTTTTGATTTTAGCAAATGGCTGCAATGAAACAAAGAGTGAAAAATGTAAAGAGGTCTGAATACTTTCCGTACTCACTGTAAGATATATACTTATATAAAAGAGTGGGAACGATTGATGGTATGAAACGAGCGTACGTAAACCTTCACTCAGCAGGATTCGGGACTCATTCCTTCCATGTTATTGTTTGTGTTGCAGATATCAGCGTGGACCATCCTGATGAGAAGTCAGTCATCACCTACGTGGTGACGTATTATCACTACTTCTCCAAGATGAAAGCTCTGAAGGTGGAGGGCAAACGTATCGGAAAGGTCAGAAAACACCAACAAACTGCACAGTTATTGATGTCTGTATCAGATCAATATCAGAATATAAGAAAGATTAATGTGAAATCTCCCTAAAATGTTCATAAATACATAAACATGTTTACCATTCACCTGTCCAGGTGTTGGATAACGCCATCGAGACGGAGAAGATGATCGAGAAGTACGAGTCTCTGGCCTCAGACCTGCTGGAGTGGATCGAACAGACCATCATCATCCTCAACAACCGGAAGTTCGCCAACTCTCTGGTCGGAGTCCAGCAGCAGCTTCAGGCCTTCAACACCTACCGAACCGTCGAGAAACCTCCAAAGTCAGAACCTTTACCTTCTGTTAACTTCCTCAGTCAGTCTGAATATGCAGCAGCAGATTTTAGATCAGTCTGGGTATCTGGACAACTACGAGCCAGATTTTGGTTAAATTTACTGTCACTATTCAACCTGGCTGATGTTGTATAAAGTTAGTGCGGCTATAACGTACACTCTGTATGCCTCCACTAACTCCTCCCACCTCCTTTTGTCTTCAGGTTCACGGAGAAAGGAAACCTGGAGGTTCTTCTCTTCACCATCCAGAGTAAGATGAGAGCCAACAATCAGAAAGTCTACATGCCCCGAGAGGGAAAACTCATCTCAGATATCAACAAGGTCAGACTCCAGAACCAGTTTAAAAATGTCCAGTGTATTGATTTCACTCGTCAGTGCTCACAAACACAACTGGAGGATTTACAGGATGCAGCATTATCAGCCATATTAAAGTCAATGTGTTTGATGGTCTGTCAGGCCTGGGAGCGACTGGAGAAGGCGGAGCATGAGAGGGAGCTGGCACTGAGGACGGAGCTGATTCGTCAGGAGAAACTGGAACAGCTTGCCAGACGCTTTGACCGCAAGGCGGCCATGAGAGAGACCTGGCTCAGCGAAAACCAGAGACTCGTGTCACAGGTAGGAAGACAAACAGTCAGCAGCAGCTACCAGGTGCTGCTCCACGTTAGCATCTTACAGCTTTTAAATCTGCTCTGTAAATCATGTCCTTTGCTCTTATTTAAAAACAATGTACATTTATTATTTGTTGAATCCTGCTGCCTCCTTTTTCTCTCCAGGACAACTTCGGCTTCGACCTCCAGGCTGTCGAGGCGGCCACCAAGAAGCACGAAGCAATTGAGACGGACATTGCGGCGTACGAGGAGCGTGTCCAGGCTGTGGTTGCTGTGGCAAAGGAGCTGGAGGTGGAGCACTACCACGACATCAAACGCATCACAGCCAGGAAGGACAACGTGATCCGGCTGTGGGAGTACCTGCTGGAGCTGCTGAAGGCCCGCAGACAGAGACTGGAGATGAACCTGGGCCTGCAGAGAGTCTTCCAGGAGATGCTGTACATCATGGACTGGATGGACGAGATGAAGGTACATCACATGGTAGAGGTTAGGGTCAGATGAGAAGATGGACATCAAAGATACCAGTACAGAGATAGATCCAGATCGTGTTTCACTCAAATGCTATTAAAAAGACTGAATTGGAGCAGGAAGTAGATCCTCTCTGACTGTTTCTCTGTCTCTTGTTTCCAGATGTTGTTGCTGTCTCAGGATTATGGGAAGCATCTGTTAGGTGTGGAGGACCTGCTGCAGAAACATGCCCTGGTGGAGGCTGACATCGCCATCCAGGCTGACAGGGTGAAGGCAGTCACCACCAACGCTAACAAATACTCTGTGAGCGACGACGGTGAGCAGCGTCCTTTGGTTTTTAATATTATGTCCAATGTCCAAGTGTTCTTATTTTTAAGGCTGCCCCTGACTGAAGATTTTCCTAGTTGACTAGTCATCGAACATTTATGATATTAAATCATATATTATTATTTACTCATTAACAAATTACTTCCTGAAGGATGGGTCAGGAGTAGGGACGCTAGTTTGATCAGGATTGAAAGCAGCAGTCTACATCTTTATTTGTATAGCACCAATTCATAACAAAAGTTATTTTAGGACACTTTTCAAATAGAGTACGTCAAGACCGTACTCCTTATAAAATGATTTAACCAAACACAGTGTTTTCCAACCCAGGCTACAAGCCCTGCGACCCTCAGGTCATCCAGGACCGGGTTTCCCACCTGGAGTTCTGCTACCAGGAGCTCACCCAGCTGGCGGCTGAGCGTCGTGCCCGCCTGGAGGAGTCCCGCCGTCTCTGGAAGTTCTTCTGGGAGATGTCTGAGGAGGAGGGCTGGATCCGTGAGAAGGAGCAGATCCTGTCCTCTGTCGAGCACGGCAAGGACCTGACGGGGGCCCTGCGCCTCCTCAGCCAGCTACGCGCCCTAGAGGACGAGATGAGTGGCCGTGCAGGCCACCTCCAGCACACCATCGCAGAAGGCCAGGCCATGGTGGAGGCCGGCCACTTTGCCGCCACCAAGATCCAGGAGCGTATCGCCGACCTACAGGCTCAGTGGGCAGCACTGGAGCAGCTGGCAGCGGCGAGGAAGAAGAGGCTGGAGGAAGCTTTGGCACTGCACCAGTTCCAGGCTGATGCAGATGATGTTGACGCCTGGACACTGGACGCCCTGCGCATCGTCTCCAGTGGAGAGACTGGCCATGACGAATTCTCCACCCAGGCTCTGGTGAGGAAACACAAGGATGCAGCGGCTGAGGTAGCCAGCTACCGCCCAGTCATCGACTCACTACACGAGCAGGCAGCCTCCCTGCCTGAAGAGGTGGCCGGCTCAGAGGAAGTGCGTGGGCGGCTGGCTGGCATCGAGGAACGCTACAAGGAAGTTGCAGAGCTGACCAAGCTGAGGAAGCAGGCCCTGCAGGATGCTCTGGCGCTCTACAAAATGTTCAGCGAGGCGAACGCTTGCGAGGTTTGGATCGATGAGAAGGAGCAGTGGCTTAACAGCATGGAGATCCCCGAAAAACTGGAGGACCTAGAGGTCATTCAACACAGGTAGGTCTACGAGATGCTGCATACATATTTGTAATTGTCCTCTTTTAGCCGGCATTGTTCATGTGGACTTTGTTCTTGGCAGGTTTGAGAGTCTGGAGCCAGAAATGAACAACCAGGCATCTCGTGTTGCTGTGGTAAACCAGATTGCCAGGCAGCTGATGCACAATGGTCACCCGAGTGAAAAGGACATCAAGACCCAGCAGGACAAACTCAACAACAGGTACAAACAGGTGTAACTGTCCATTTGTCCTCAATGTGAATAGCATGAAACTGTAGGTGTGACTGTAGACTGTGATAATACTTTCCTCTATACCTCTAGGTGGAGCCAGTTCCGTGATCTTGTGGACCAGAAGAAGGAGTCCCTGAACTCAGCTCTGGGAGTGCAGAACTATCACCTCGAATGCAACGAGACCAAGTCTTGGATTAAAGAGAAGACCAAAGTCATCGAGTCCACCCAGGAGCTGGGGAATGACCTCACAGGGGTTATGGCCCTGCAGCGCAAATTGACCGGTATGGAGCGGGATCTGGCTGCCATCGAGGACAAGCTAGGCGATCTGCGAGGCGAAGCCCAGCGACTGGCAGAGGAGCATCCTGATCAGGCAAAGGCCATTACAGGCCGCCTGGCTGAGATCACTGCTGTCTGGGAAGAAATGAAGAACACTCTGAAGAACCGCGAGGAGTCCCTTGGCGAAGCCAGGAAGCTGCAGCAGTTCTTACGCGAGTTGGACGACTTCCAGTCCTGGCTGTCCCGCACTCAGACCGCCATCGCCTCTGAGGACATGCCTAACACGCTGGCCGAGGCCGAGAAGCTCATGGCCCAGCACGAAGGCATCAAGAACGAGATCCAGAACTACGAGGAGGACTACCAGAAGATGCGGGACATGGGGGAGATGGTGACGCAGGGCCAGACGGACGCACAGTACATGTTCCTGCGACAGCGGCTGCAGGCGCTTGACACCGGCTGGAACGAACTGCACAAGATGTGGGAGAACCGGCAGAACCTGCTGTCCCAATCCCATGCTTACCAACTGTTCCTCAGGGACACAAAGCAGGCTGAGGCGTTCCTCAACAATCAGGTAAAGACCAGGTTTATGACCCCTGTGTCCTGTGATCCATGTTAAAGACTTGACTCGAGGTCAGGATTGGACCCACGCTAGTAATGCAGATTTCTCAGTGATAAATTCTCCACTGCTAACCAGAGAAACTGACCAAGTCAGTCAGTCTGTCCAACTCCAAATCCTAAAGTCTAAACTTTGTGCTTTCTTCCTTTATGGGAGTAGAATATTTGTTTCACAGTTTGAACATGATGTTTTTAGCTAGATAAAGAAAGTACATCCATACATATCTTTTATTAACAGCTTAGTTTATGAGAGGGATTTGTATCAGGATATACTCATGGTTGGGCAACAGTATCGGGCAAGAAAAAATGTTATCAAGCCGTCCCTAATTAATGATGACTTGACCTTTCCTGTAGCATGAATATCTGCACAAAATGTCAACTTGGTCCACGTGCTACAGATCTTAAAACCTTATGGATTGATGGCACAAAATGTTTCCAGAGGATTAACCCTTTTAATGACCTTTCCCCTAGTGTCATCCTACTGTCATGCCACAGACTACCTGTATGAGTATTAAACCGTGTCCTCGCCCGGCAGGAATACGTCCTGGCTCACACCGAGATGCCCACCACTCTGGAGGGCGCCGAGGCTGCCATCAAGAAGCAGGAGGACTTCATGACCACCATGGATGCCAACGAAGACAAGATCAATGGCGTGGTGGAGGCCGGCAGGCGGCTGGCCAGCGACGGAAACGTCAACGCCGAGCGCATTCAGGAGAGAGTCGCCTCTATTGATGACAGGTAGATGTCAGCTTCATATGTGGGGCTGTAAGAAAAACCAGCGGTCCTACTGGAGGGGAATCTGTAGTGTTCTGTATGTGTTGCCATCCTGGTCTAACCTCATCCTCTGTGTTTCAGGCACAAGAAGAACAGGGAGGCTGCTGTGGAGCTGCTGATGAGACTGAAAGACAACAGAGACCTGCAGAAATTCCTGCAGGACTGCCAGGAGGTCGGTCTCTCCTCTCTGTTGTACCTTAATATATTTTTCCTTTAAGCTGAGCTCAGACTACAGGAGTTGATTCACCTCAGATTCAAATGTGGTCGGTACCGATATTCAGCACAGTTTATCTGGAAATGTGAGGGTTTACGGATCCACTGGCTGGCAGAATCATCAGTGCCGCCAGATAATTTTCACATTTTTGTATTAATATGTAAGGAATTATTATTTGTCCGCCGAATGAATCCCATTTTTGACGCCCGCAACATGCTCAAAACAAAATGGCTCGACAGTGCCTCTTAAACTCAGCCCCCCAGGCATGTTTCTCCGATATGTATGAAAATTGGTACACTCATGTACCCCTAATTTAGAGGTTACACATAATCTCGGTTTTGCTCCACTTGAGGTGTAAAGATGGTATTTCAGATTCAGATTCATACTTT